ATTTCTGTCCGGCCACTCCCCGGTAGGACACTGTGGTGCACACCAGTCTCACTGGAGGTCCAGCAGCATCTGCGTCCACCATGTGCCACTTGAAGCTCTGGAAAGTGTGCCTCGTGCTCTGTCGTTTTTATGTCACGGCGGTCTGGATCAGGAAGGGAGGTCAGCCAGTCAGTTCCTGGAGCTTACTCCACTCAGCATCCCAATCGTCTCCTACGTCATACATCCGTCAGCCCAAATAACCTTTGTAAAGGGACGATAATCCCCAGATGACCACACTACTTTGTATACCTATATTGTAAGTATCTTCACCTAGACGAAGTGTGGCCACCCAACGTTCCAAAAATAAATCTCTCCCTAATGTGCAATATTATCTATACCATTTGAACAATAATGTCCTAAGCAGTTAAGATAACATAATTTAATCATAACTTATATATTAAAGGAACACTATTAGTTCTGGAGCATAAACATGTATTTGTGACCCTTTAGTGTTTAACTATTTAGCCCCCCTGTTCCCCCCTTGAGGATAAAAACTAATTTTCATTCCAGAATTATGCAGGTCCTACAGTGTTGGCCCCACCCCTATCCCAATTCCTTGGCTGACAACACATAGGAAAGCATTGCATTGGCTGAGATTGTCAATTCTGATAATCTCAGCCAAGGAGGCAGGATGGAGCAGAGCTGAATGCCGCCCTCGCCAATCAGAATCTCCTCATAGAGATGCGTATAATCAATGCATCTCTATGGAGAAAGTTCAGCGTCTCCGTGCAGCACTGTCCCAGGAAAAACCTCTAGTGGTCGTCTGAGAAGTGGCCGGTAGAGGTGTCACTAGGCTGCAATGTAAACACTGCCTTTCCTCTGAATTTTTTTTTTTACAAAACAATCAAATAAGGGATAAACTAAATAAAAAATACAAATGAATGAGAAAAACAAGTCACATAAATTGCAAATTGAGAAAGTAAAACACCCCCTTATTGAAGATAACTGCACATATAATATGAAATAATGTGTAATAACAGAACAAACCTACCACTTCTGAACAATTATGAAAACAAAAAGTAAACCACAAACAATATAACACAGAGAAAGATGAATCAATATTACACAGTATCCAGAAGGTAATTGAGACTGTGGGGAATTCTTGCTTTACAATAAATCCTTATTAGGCACAATTCAAAAACAATAAAAAAAATCATTACAAAATAGAAGTGGAATTATATCCCAAAATTGATTTATGGAATCCTATGACACAATCAAAAAATAGTCGTCTCGGGGATCCAACAATCAGGATCAATACACTGAT